ATGCTTTAAAAGCCTGAGGAAGCATATGTATAATTTTAATTGAAATTTGTTGCTTATAAGGCCAAAAGGGAGAATGGGATAAGAGATCTCCAGGCTGTTCTGCAGGACTTGGACGATCAGAGCAAGTTGTGATCCCAAAATGTAAGGACTTAACTTTTCCCTTGTAGGGGAAAAACCCTTTCTGTGTGAGGCACAGGGATGTGGTCGCTCCTTTGCCGAATACTCCAGCCTTCGGAAACATTTGGTTGTCCACTCAGGTAAGAGTCTTGATCTGACATTCTGTGACCTATCTGAGAAAAGATCTTTATTGTAGGAGTTCAATTTCATTTCCTTAAGAAAAATCCCCTGGTTTCTACAGGACTGCTGGTCATAGTGTTTCATTACTTTCTTTGTGGCACCTGTAGCCTGTATACGTTAATCCTTTCTCCTGGTTTTGTTTCTAAATTTTATGTTTATAAATTCAAATTACATTTTTAAAGTTTATTTTTAAAATTGTTTCTAAAATATCATCACCTCTTCTGTTCTGGAGGCTTACTGTTCTCCAAGAAATAGCAGTTTTTCTTTTTTTTTTTTTTCTTTTGGTGTCAATAGCCATTTCAAAACAGTATTATTTGCTTGTGGTTGATGAGGTCTTTATTCTTAGTTTGCTAATTCTTGGGCTACTTTTTCCCCCTTCTACTCCAAGGACTGAAGCCCCACCAGTGCCAAATTTGTGGGAAGACATTTTCCCAGAGTGGTAGCAGAAACGTGCATATGAGGAAACATCACTCCCGAATTGGAACATCTGGCAGCAGAGAGCGAGAACAGCCAGGTAAGAAAGGGAGGGCACTCTGTGTGCAGGAGAAGTGCAGGAAGGAATTTAGTGGATGGTCAAAGAGAAGGGAAGGTGTTTGTCCTGAAAATATGAGACTACAAGCCAGTAAGGAATAAAAGACTGTTCCTCTTGGAGATGAGGATGGATTGCTCACCCTCCCCTTTTCTAGAAGACAAAGGTGTATTTCTGCATTGTGGTCAAGGGGCAGATAGGTGTATTGTTTTCAAAGTTAGCATGAATCTAGCATTTTTTTACATGGAATTTGTGCCCTTTGTTATGTATTCTTGTTATAAGCAGCTGTTTTTCTAATGCAATGTGAATTATTTAAGGAGAAAGCCAATTCTGCATGAGATCCTGCCATACTAAGGCTCAAAACACTAAATGTAGGCATTACCATCCGTTGGAGCACTGGATGCCCAAAGAGCAGGAACAGCTAAAGTAGGTGTCTAAGGAAGAAGTCTGTGTGGCTTGGAGGGGGGCAGGGATTGTATCTTATATTACAGTATTATTACATCATGAGAATTCTGTTTTACCCTGTTTTTTTCCACAATAGAGTCACTGATGGGCAGCAGTTTGCTGGAAGAATCTACAGTGCATAGTAAGAATCTCATCTCCATGAACTCTCAGCCCAGCCTTGGTGTCGAGTCCCTGCACCTGCCAGACACCGAGTCCATCATCGGAGTAGAGGAGGGTGAGACCAGCTGCTCCTTTTTCCGCCCTCTGATCTGCGGTGACTGAAGGGGGATCCATCGTTTCTCCTAGAGGCTCACCATGTTGCAGTGGGATGAGTGAACATTGCTTTAACTGTGCACAGAGCAGGTGGGTAGATGGAGAATGGGGCCAACTGGAGTTGGAGAAGACCTACTGGACCAAGTTTCTCTCTTGCAGAGCTTAAAAGGTGAAGTCTGCTGCTTAGGTGTCATTTAGCCCATGTCGTGGAATGCCATTTCAAAACTGTTTATACAGCCCATTCTCCTAAAGCCTAAAGCACTTGTTTTGCTGGAGCACCCGGGGGCCCCAGCTGAGGAGCAGGACCTCATGGTGCTAGGCACTGTACAAACATTCGGCATCTCAAGCAACAGGCCCTCCTCCACCCTTTACCTTCAGAGACTATATTCTAATACATCTCACTGTCAGAAGCTGACTTACTATCTGAAATAAATGTACAACTTGATATCATTTAATTACAGTTGCTGTGTTCTTTTCCTGCCTTCCCCAGTCACTTTTTTCCTGCAAAAGTGTTTTTTTTGGTATATCAAGCTCTTTAAATGAGTCTACCATGTAGTTGTTTTGAATTTTTGTTAATTTAAAAGACTTTGTTCAGAATTAGTGTTCCTAAGAATGCAGAGTTTTGCAAAGATACTATGCACCTATAATGGCTTCTATGTAACGAGAGTGCTTTGTGCTGAACGTAGAGGTAGTGCTGCTGTCAGGAAGGGTATTGTAACTGGGAGGTTCTTGCAGAAGCTCCACCAGGTACCCGTGAATAAGGTTCTGATATGAATGATGGAATCATAGAATAGTTTGGGTTGGAAGGGACCTTTAAAGGTCATCTAGTCCCCCTGCAATGGGGGGGACATCTGGATCAGGTTGCTCAGAGCCCCATCCAACCTGACCTCATGAATGTTTTCAGGGGTGGGGCATCCACCACGTCTCTGGGCAACCTGGGCCAGTGTTTCACCACCCTTATTGTAAAAAAATTTCTTCCTTACTTCTAATCTACCCTTCTCTTAGTTTAAAGCCATTACCCCTTATCTTGTTGCAACAGACCCTACTAAAAAGTCTGTCCCCATCTTTCTTTTAAGCCCCCTTTAGCTACTGAAAGGCTGAAATCAGGTTTCCCCGCAGCCTTCTCTTCTCCAGGCTGAACAACTCCAACTCTCTCAGCCTGTCCTCACAGGAGGACCCTCCTCTGGACTCTCGCCAACAGGTCCATGTCTTTCCTATGCTGAGGGCTCCAGAGCTGGATGCAGTACTCCAGGTGGAATCTCACCTGGAGAGCAGAACAGAGGGGCAGAATCACCTCCCTCGACCTGCTGGCCGTGCTTCTTTTGATGCAGCACAGAATACAGTTGGCTTTCTGGGCTGTGAGTGCACCAGATGTTGACCCCTGCCCTCTGGATGCGACCATCCAACCAATTCCTCATCCACTGAACAGTCCACACATCAAATCTGTATCTCTCCATTTTAGAGAGAAGGATGTTGTAGGGGACTGTGTCAAAGACCTTACAGAAGTCCAGACAGATGACTTCCATAGCTCTTCCCTTGTCCACTATGTAGTCACTCCATCATAGAACACCACTGTGGTTTGGCTACCATCTCACCAGTTAATGGGAAGTGCTCTCGTGAGATGTCTTCTTTGCTACAGTATTTTTATAGGTTAGCTGAACAGAGAGAATGCAATTCTTTTAACTAAAAATAACAAAATATTTTCATAAAATGCAAAATTACAGATCAAAACTAGAAATTACTTGTTTCCATGCCATTTTTGAGATATATTGAGAGATTACAAATCTCTTTTAGGATTACAGAAATGTAATCCTACTTTCAGAACGACACTTTGTTTAGCAAGAAAGGTGCTACTGAGTTTCAATTACTTAGTTTGATGCTTTTACTTTCAATCACCATTTCAGCAATTTCTGTTTAGGGACCAATATTAAGAGTTGGATTTATCTGTTACTGTATTCATGGATGTCACCTTAGTATTTGTTAAAGAGATATGGCATAATATCATGTATTAATTTAAAGTCAAGCCTTTGTTCCTCCTTTCTTAAGGTTTTCCTTTACACTTCACAAACTTGGAAATTTCTTTTTCCAAGCATCATCAGATATTATTAGGGAAATAAGCAACCAATTTTACTAAACCCCTTAAAATGTATGTATTAAAATTTCATTCCCACTGCTCCAGATATATCCATACAAGCCCAGTAGGCTTTAGAGAACAGACTTGGAGCATGGAAGAGATCTTCTTTCCTTCCTCTTTCAATGTGACGAGGCACGGTGATGCTATGATTACGTCACTGCTCTTTTCCAGGCAAGACAGGACAAAGAGCAGCCTTTGTGCGTCCTGCTCCATTAAACCTGTGTACAAACTGGTAGGCTGGTAACAGCCTGCCTTGAACCCTCCCAGCAGCTTAACCTTCTGAGTGTGGAAAGCCCTTCCAGTGAAGGGAGTATTCCCAACCTTTGGGAAATTTCTCTAGTGAAGGGCTGCATTTAACAGTATTCCCAACCTTTGGGAAATTTCTCTAGCGAAGGGCTGCATTTTAACCTGTGCCACAGCACTCAGCAGATGCATTGTGTGGAAAACTCTTCCACTGGGAAAGGAGGAAAACCAGAAAAATACAAGCCTAAACTTAGATGTGCTGAAGATTCTGTGGGTCAGGAAGGAGGACGGCTGCAACCCAACGCGTTCAGCTGTGCATCAGCATGAACTGATCTCTGTGGAAATGTAACACTGCAGCCTGGAACCCTGGGGCCATAAATTCTTGGATCTAGTGCTTTGTTATAATCAAAAATGTCATGTTCTCAGTTTTATATCTTTATCTAATGTGGTAGCTCCTACAGGTTTTACTACTGATTCGACAATGAGGTTTTGTTGTTACAGTGTAAAGAGAAATGGATTGAGGTAAAGAAGATGCAAAAGAGACACGGCTTCCATTTAAGAAGTGATGAAAAGAGGACTTATAAAGAAACTGGACAATGCAGAAACATTGATAGCCATGTAAAAATCTTTTAATCTCAAAGTGCTTTGATATCATAATTCTCAGAAAACATTCCAGGAGGTAAGGGTTTGTATTTTTGAGATCATTATTACTGTCAGGTAAAGGAAAACCACTAATGTGTGAACTATATACCATTTAAGATGCACCAGGCATTTGAGTGCAACATGCTGACAGGTAATACCTAATCCTTCTTCCACCAAATCCACCTTGGATAAGATGTTAGAACAGTTTCCAATAGTGAAATGTGGGAGATATTTTCATACAGAAAGACTATTGCTTCTTCCTAGTGGGAGGAAGGAGCAGAGCTGGTAATGAGTGAATGAAGAGTTAACACCGGAGAAGGACTTCCCTCTGAGTCTTCTCCCAAGGTAGGTCAAATCTTGGTTTTTCTTTGATTTTATACTTTGTTTAAAAGCATTCTACCACATACATGTGTAAACCAAGGTTTAGCACCCTGAAAGGCATTCTCCCTTTTCTGCGTGCTTCTACAGTGTGAACACAAGGAGCTGACACTAGAGGATGCACCTCTTCAATCTTTCATATCTACTTTTATCCAAAGATAGTGCTTCAACCTCTTTAACTTGTTTTGTTGCCTGTTATAGAAAGGGAAGTGGCTCACTGGGGGAACACTTGTGAAGACTAAGGGGGGCTGCAGGCTTTGTTGGGTTGGACAAGGCATGCTCTAAATACTAGGTGGTCTTTTTTTTCCTTTACCAAGTACTCACATCTCACTTACCCCAGAGCAATTCTTAGGTATCAGCCTAAACCAGAAAGTTCCTGAGGATTAACCTGAAGAATCTTGAATTAAAAAAAAAAAATCAAGAGACGATCAATGGATTCTTCTGCTAGATCTTATGTTGCCATTTCCTTTCGGCTCTGTTCCTCTTGAGGTTCTCCTTCCTGTACAGTACAGTCGTCCTTTTCACCCTCAGGCTTGGGCACTCTGCAGAAATAGTGATTGTCTAATACCAAAAATGCTTTGCAGGGTTTACTTGCTGCTTTGCCCCATGCATAAGGAACAGAGTGCAGCCACAGCAGTTCAGATAGAGAAGCCATGGTGCTTAATAAGAGAAGCCATGGTGCTTATTAAGAGGAATGAAGTTGATTTAATTTTGCCTACACTAGATAATACAAACTGGAATGCTTTCATGAACAGGGAAAATATTTCTACTCAATGTCAAAACAACTGTATTGCATTGTTTTTATTACCTGTGAACATCAGATTCTTCTTCCAGCAAGTCAGTGGCATCTTTCCCTTTTTTCCTTACAAATTCTTCGCTTAGCCCAACCTGCTGAAGGGTGTGTCTGTAGCGACGCTCTGCTCCTTGACGAGCATCATGCTATGAAAGCGAAACTTAAACAGTAAGCACATAGAACTGTATGGGGCATCTCCAGAATGGTCAAGTTGTCTTAAAGTTCACGTCTGACACTCCTAATGAGAACAAGAGGACAGCAAAGCCCCTGTCCAGAATTTCTGTCATCCACACAGTAAAATACTGAATATTAGGAGAATGTCCCACATCTCTCAAAGCCGGAGCTCACCTTTTCCTGCTTCTGTTCTTTTTTGCTTCCTCTTTTTGATCTCATGCTTCTACAGCACTCCAGTCTTACCAGACTGACATACTTGTGTCCGAGTCCTGACTCTGACACTCAAATGGAGAATATGTGCAAAAAAAGAGTTGTGAGAAATTCCAGCAGCATGTCTGCTTGTAATTTGTAAGCACTAGCCACAGTGGAGTTCAATAAACAGAGAACACCTTGAAATAGCTTCATATCAGCTGATCTCTAGGAAACTGAAAACCAAACATCCTGGATCCTATATCTTCACTGCCTCCCTGTAAACATTGCAAATTAATACTCTGAGATGACTGTTTTCCAGAGGGACTGGTGAGTTCCTAAAGACTAAGGTGTTCTATATGGAAGGATAGAAATTTCGTCTCAGCATAAGTGAATGTTACTGATATTGGTGAATTCTTACTGACCTGGCAAATAGAGACGTTACCAATTTATCATACAAAAGTGTTATCTGCTTCCATTAACCACTCACCTGAACAGAAAGTCTGACCCAGGAGGGTGCTTTCTATTGAGGAAACCTAAATCAGCATATTGTCAATGTATTGTCACTATGTCTCTAACCAGATCTCACACCTGCAAGAGAAATCCCAGGGGGAAAAAAGATAACTTTATAGAGAGTAAAGTTTGTATCCATACCTCAAGTGCAATAGAGATTTATTTGCAGGTGTGGTGGATGAGCTGTGCTGAACACAGCCCCAGAGAGCAGAGCTTGGAAGTGATATAAGTAACTTAAACGACATTAAAGAAAAAGGGTTCAACTAGACAGAGTTTTAAGGAAAAAAAAAAAGTAATTAAAATTTCTAGACTGTAGGCTATGGTATTCAGGTGCAGAATAGGTATTCATATAATTTCTGGTGTGATAAGGCCTTCATTTTGATCAAACCATGTATTTTGATTGCAATGTATACCAGGGACTGGAAAAGCTCTACAACCAAGGGAGAAGTCTGAGTGTTTTTCAAGTGATGGAAAGGAATTTAAATCACACTTGGGTGGCCTTGTAAGTGTTATTTTGAATGTAGTCAAGAGACCATTCAACCATTTGCACCCTCTTACCCGTGAATTACTTGAGACTAGATTTCTTAATGCTTGTCTTAAATAAAAGACAATTTATTCTGTCACCCAGAAACACTCTGGAACTTTGACCAGTTACCTTGGTGACCTGTTCAAAGAGGAATGGTCTGTTCTTGACTCGCAGCTGCATTTCTTCCAGCTCCTTTCTATATTCCCTTGTTCTCTCTCTCATATTTTGCCTGAAATAGAAAAGTTGCCTGTCTAATACAAGTTCCCTCTGACTGTAGTTGATCAGGAACAAGGAATTCTCAGTAGCTGTTTTGTCCTTTAAATAGCTCTGGTGATTCTCTGTTCCAAATGCTGGGCAAAATATTGCTATTGCTGGCACTGTGGACCCATTAGCAAAGCTTTCTACTAGATTGTAAGCAAAGCAGCAGTGTTCACATTTTTAGAAAACCTTGTCTTAATGTGTGCTTTACCAAATTGTACATTTCAGTTGGCTTCTGTGTACAAATTAGTTTCTAAAAATGTTAATCTAAGGGAAACTGGTCCATAAGGAAAAGAGTAGTTTGGAATTGTCAAGAAACCCAAATGAATGTGAAATGGGTGCAACAGCCAAAAAAGTTAGGCTAGGAATATTCTCAGACCCAATTCCTCCTAAAGAATTATCTGGTGATCCCCAGTGAGTAAAGCAAACAGTTACTTCTGTGCAGAACAGGATACTGACCAGTTCTGTTTCGACTTCTCCTTGTGTGTTTCCTCCAGACTTTTGTGTGGATCCAGGGCTTTTGCTCGGCTGTTCACTGACTTTCGCAGAGCTTGACATTTCTTCTTCTGTTTCTCCAGCCAATAAATTCCTTCTTTTTCCCCTTCCTTTTTGTTATCTTGGGAGTATCTATATAGAAAAAAGTTAGTAACGACTCACTTAAGACTGCCAGACTGCATGCTAGCGAGAAATTTCACTTTTGTAGTCCCCCAAGGAGAAAAGCAAAAATCAACTGGGAGGCAGGGCAAGAGTTAGTAAAGAAAGAAGACAGAGAAACGTTTAGGAAAAGTATTGTTGATGTAGCTGATGTGATGATGGAAAACATTAACTTTTTTTCCTCCACTTTGGTCATTAGTTGGTGTACGGTCTTGTAGACAAACTTCTACTTACCTAATAGCAGATTCCCGTTTTCTAGTTGCATCTGTAATATGCACTGGGAGGGTGTTGGAAGACAGAGAGGAAAGTCCAGTCAGAGAATGACTTTTTTGCACTGAAACCTTGGAAAGTTGCTGCGAATCCTGCAAAAAAAAAAAAACCCCAACAAAAACTTCATTCAGTGTTTTTGTTCATAATACAGAATCTACTCTGCAATTTTTCTACCAAAGCAAACAGTTGGGGTATGTGGGCAATGCACTCATTCTTCTCTTTTCCATCAGTAGGGATTTACATGGGGAGGGACTGAGGGGAAGGAGAGGTGACTGGGAGTATGGAAGGGTGGCTGAGCCTTAGCTCTCATAGCTCATCTCTTTGTGTAGAATTTTGCTCTCTGGTTTGTCCTAGAGTTCTGCAGTACTCCCAAGACAAGGGCAGAGATCACAGTGCATCAAGCATCCAAAAATAAATGCTGTAAATTTAAGAAAGTGCCATCTTGATTGGAGGAAACAGTACCACAGAAATATCCAGTTATCTCACCTTTATCTTTTCATTAGCCTGCCTCTGCCTGACGCGCAGATTGGCGGTTCTGAGCTTGAATGGCTTATTACGAGTTGCCTCTTTGGTTTCTTGTCTCCTTACTGCTTCCCTCTGAAACGCCCAGTAAAGTCCTTCAAAATCCGGTATTGTTGGATTAATTCTTGGCTTGAAGCTGAAACTTTGTTCCTGCAAGAAGCCAAGTCTTTCCTGCTTAGTTTTAGTGGCAGTTCGGGACTGAGGCTCGCTCCGACAGTTGCTAGTGTCTATAGGAGCTACAGAGCTCTCAAGCAAATCCTTCGCTCTCATTTGAATGCGGATTTCTCTGTAGAGTTCAGCTTCTAATGAATCAAAAGCAAAGCAATGAGAAGAATATGAGTGACATAGAAGGCTGTGAAATCACCACTGCACAACTCTATAATTTTTTCTTTATGATGGCAGCTACACATATAGGAGAGACCAGACATCCCATGTTCTCTTTCCCCACTTTCCAGTCTCTCTCTCCTCTGCCTGCCAGGAAAAAAAATCAGATACCAGAAAACCCGTGGTAGAGTCTCTCTTTTATGCATTAATCCCTAGGTATCTCTTTCATTTATCAGAGTAAGTTACTGAAGAGGTCTTCTCCTCCCATTCTTGTTCTTAGGGGTACCAGGTAACTTGTGCCCTTTGCATTGCAGATGTGTTGGGTTAATAAAGCTTCTACTTTTCATATGGGACTTTATGTCATTTTATGTGGACTGCATGATCCAAATGGGCTGTTCAAATATACGTGTAATGGAGGATGGCTTTTCTGTGTAAAATCCTGTAGTGTTTGTCTAGATTGGAAAAGATTTTAAGTAAGGAGCATTTGGTGGATGGATCATCTCTTGTGATTTCTATGACAGGCTTTCAAGAGAAAGAACGTGTTTCAGGGTACGGGGTCAAACTGAGCACTAATTATTTGAGAAAATGCAGACAAACAGTTGGCGGTAGGGTTTTTAATTTTTTTGTCTTTTAGAAAAATATCAATACTGCTATTTGCAAAATAAGACTTTTTTGAGTCTATTTATAAGTTTGCGTTGACTGAGGTATGAAATGTTCGTTCCTCCTCCCTTCTCATATACCAGATAGAAACAGAACAATGGCTTGTCGTTTGCTCACTTTTACCTTTCTAAGCTATTTAGCACAACACAACAGAATGCTTTCTGATGAAAAGTGAACTGGTATGTACTCAAGAAGAAATCAGTGGCAAACAGTAAAAAAATACAAGGGGGTGAGAAATGCAATGAGGATTATCAAGGATTGGTTTAGTTCCTATATTCAAGCATGAAGCCTGTATTCCTTACTTCAGACTTGGAACTGTGGGGGCTTAAGCCATCTGAAAGCAAGCCAGCATTCAGGAAAATTTCCTTGTCTGTCCCTCTGACTAGAATGGTCCTGGCACCCTACTTCTCCTGTTTTAGCACTTAATAAGAAGGTGGAAAGTGAGCGGGAAGGTAACTGAAAACATCAGAGAATGGCATGAGAGACTGGGCTACTGCACGATGTCTTAGAACCAAACTAATTGCCTGATTTTGGCTCAGGAAATGGTTTTCTCCTAGGGCTCCTGTGCAGCACAGATCACTTGGGTGGGAGTAAAATCGTCAGTTCCAAGATATCGCATAGACCTTGGGCACTTCTGGCGTTACATCTGTCTTCACATTTGTGCCACAAATAATCCAAGTCCCTTTAGCACAACCAAAGGTATGGAATCCAGTGCAGGAAAGGATTCCCAAACTGTCATGATTTGCAGCAAAAGGGGTATGGAGATCTGTCTGAAGAGCTCCATGTACCCATGTGTGCTGGGGAGTGGTACAGAATTGCTGCTGCTGCCAGTGTTAGAAAACTACTGAAGTTAGGACAGTCTGCTGCGAGGGAATCTAGATGAAATGTAATGCCCAGCGACACACAGGAGACTAGACAACACCAGGGGCGTAATGATATTGGCTTTATACTCCAAAAACACCCTATGGGCCATGATCCTACCTCCCAGTACGGACACAGCAAGGGACAGGCAGGGAGTTGTTTTTACAGGAAGAGCCCTGGCATTTTACCTTTGAGTTTATCTCCAAGAAGTGGGTCATAAGTAGATTTAGGAACTTTTTTACTGGCTTGCTTCTGTTTGGAGCTCTCATTTGGGGATGCTGCTGCCAGGAACTTTTGTCTGATAGCTTCTTTCTTTTTCTCCTCCTTCTCCAGGAAACTGAAGGGCCGCTGGGTTGAAAGTAGCAGCTCCTTTCTTTTCTGTGTTGCTATTTGCCTGCGAATCTCATTCTGCTCCATTATTTCCTGGTAAAGGGGCAGAAACACATGGGCAGGTACAGGCTGTGCCCGGAACTGTTTCTGACATTCAGCTTCATCCTGGCTTTGCCTTTTGTCTCTCTGTTTGTCTAGTTCAAGAAACATGTATGACTTCATCAACTGGGACTTTTTGCGAGCTTCCCGCAGTGTCATTTCGAAAGGCTGAGGGATGGTGATGGAGGGAATCCAGGGAGATGAAGCGCTTTTTGGCCTCAAGCGGGATTTAGGAAACAAGTGAGGCTTTTGCTGATCCCAGGTACTGTCCGAGGTGAGGTCGATCAAAGAACTGGACTGCCTTTTGTTACCAGATGTGTGACTAAGACAAAGACATTATGAAGGGGAAATAAGGGAAATTATTAAAAAAATAGAATTAAAAGAAGGGAGACATTGTTGATTAAGAGAAAGCCACCACAGGCCAAGGTGGTTGTCAGAGCTTTGCTTGTTTTCCATTTTCCATGCATAAAATGGCGGTTTTGCCTACTTAGCTTTGCAATGCAATTTTTTACGCTGCTAGCACTCTATTGCCAGAAAGGCCACAAGTAAACCAGAAAATTCCAGATTTAAGGATATATGGCTGATACCTACTCAACGTAAAAGACAAACTCAGCAGAGGCAATAAATTAAGCACACAGATGCACAAATCCTAACGAACAGTACCAAACACCAGAATTCCTACGACGCTGATGGAAGGGCCATTGCAAGGAACTGCTTTAGTGCAACTCTTAAGTGATCCAGTTGGAAACTTTGTAGGTGATAAGACCATATAACTGTGATAATAAGAAAAAAACCCAAGAGTATCATGGATCTCATTGAAATAGCACACTTCTCACAGGATGCTTGAGGGTGATTGTGAAACTGAGTAAAACTTAGGAGATATTTAGGGAAGGAATAAATGCAGGTAAAAGGAAGGATTAAAGTGGATCAGAGTGGAACCGAGAACAGGAAAATAGGAAAAAGGGGGAAACAGAAGGTGCTGATCATGTATAAACAGGCTTCTGGTCAATACACTTGCCTGGTGATAGCTGCAGTCTGTTCTTCATAAACTATTTCCTTTGTAAGATAGTGTGTGTCTGATCTGCTAGTGAACTTCAAGCTGGACTAACCACAGAGAAAGACAAGAAGTCTGAGAGCTAGATGTTGGAGACACCACAGCTCTGAAGACTGGACGCTGGATAGAAATGTGTGCAATCTGCTAGTAAATTTTAAGCGTGATTAGCTGACAAGCAGCTGTGGGATTTGTTCAAGTTTTATGCAAATGTGAGTTACATGGGCACCCATTGGCCCCATCCTTGCATCTGTGAATAAGTTTGTGGCCAGCCTCTTGGTACTATATACGTGCATTTTGGGACTTCATGCTCCGCCTTGTCACTGGCCAGCAGCAGCAGGACTCCCCTCTGCCATTCTGCCACCCTTGCCAGGTACCATCCTACCTGAGAGCCTGCCACAGCTTCTCCCGCAGAATTGCCGCCTCCCGCCTGAAACCCTCGAGCTCCTCATCCACTTCGGATAACGTGAGGTCACCCGTTAACTTCGCCTGGCACGGTAAGCCCGGCTCTAATGGGGACCGGCGGCCTCCCATCCTGACCGGCCACTCCCCGCTCCTGACCCAGGAGTTGGGGACACGCGGCCTGAGGGGATGCCGTGCCACCTGGAAGAGAAAAAAAAATGGAGAAGTGTTGGTTTCGGGGGTACGACCCCAGCCTCCATGCCCGGTCGCCGCCGCCGGGGCTGAGGTGGAGCCGGTATCGCCGAGCCCGGGCCGCTCCCCTCACCTGCAGGCCGCCGCCTCAGCCCCACAACGGCCCCATCCCGCCTCCGGCCAATCAGCGAAGCCGGCAGCGCTCTAGTCCCGCCTTGTTGTCCTCAAACAGCTAATCGGATTCAAGAGGGGCAAGCACCCGCCGCCCGCTGATTGGTGCTCGGGAAGAGGATGCGTTGTCATGGTTTCCCCCAGCGACATCCGCTCGGAGGCGCTCGGCGTGGCGTCACTTCCGCAGCGATGGCGGTGGTGTGCGGCCGGGGGCTGCTCTCTCCGCTGTGTGGGCGGCTGCGGGCCGGCCCGCGGGCCCCGCTCCGCTCTCTCGCTGCCGCCGCCGCCGCTCCCCCGCTCTACGACGTGGTGGTGTCGGGCGGGGGTATGGTCGGGAGCGCCATGGCCGCCGTGCTGGGTAAGGCCGTGACCTTCTCGGCGTCGCGGGTGCCGCCGGCCCGGCGGGGGCTGCGGGCACGGCCTCCCTCCCGCCGCCCTGCCCGGAGATCTCGGAGGTCTTCGGGCCTCCTGCACCCTGTGTCCTGAGGGGGTCGGGTGGCGGGTTTTGCGTCCCCGCTGCCCTCCCTGGTGTCTGTCTGACCAGTTACACAAAATCTTGCAGCTGGGGGTTTGCCCAGGAGTGTCAGCGTGTGGAGTGGTGGGTGCTTTCCTGAGTCGACCGTGTTTGCTCGTGCCTGTTGGTGGCAGTGTGAGATCACCCCGGGGTTAGCATGTAGGATCTTCCCGTTCAAAATCCTCCCGTGGAATTTCCTTATTCCCACATCCTCCTGTGACAGCGCTCCAAGAAGCCTGTTTGGATACCTGATGGCTGTGAGGAACCTTACCCTGTTTATGTAGCCATTACTTGGAATTCTGTCAAACATGGTCACCCTTAAATCACTGATGGATAATTTCAGTCACAGTTGAAAATGCTTTTCTGATCCCAAGTTTCATTCTCTAACCCTGTATTTTAAACACGGGAATACCAAGTTGAAATGGATTTGTTTGCATCACTAGAGGTCCTGAGAGTGCTGGCTGCTGCTTTATTTGCAGTGTTGGTTCAGAAGGGTGCAATAGTGACAAGCCTAGAGAAGAAAGTGCAAAGAAGAGCCAAAGAGCAAAGGTCTTAAGCAATAAGTGCTTTGCAAGTATAAGGGTTTCCCTTGTGAACTTATCATTGTTGCACTTACATTGTTAAAGAAGACCCCAGTGGAGTTGAGACAGCATAAGGATCTCCTACAGCCATGGTATCTAAGGCTAACCTTTCAAGAGATGAGGTTATATTATGTTAATCTAGAAAATACGTTGAGGATACTGCTGTCATTAGGACTGCTGCAGTAGTAAACTCTGGATGTTATGAGGACACCATTTCTGGTCTTGGTAACTTCTACAGCCCTAACGGTGAGATGCAGCAGACGGGGCTCATTCAGCTGCACTGTGATTCACTCTTTACTTGAGTCATCTCTTCAATTTATTTCAGTTATTTTCAACTGAAAGAGTCTAAACTGCCTGTGCTATTCCACTGTCAGAATATGAGGATAAAGATAACATAAATGTAGTTGATAAGTGTCATAGAAGATTTATTTTTATCTCTTTTTCTAGTTAGTGAGTGTATGTTTAAGCTCTGAACAATGTGTTCTGTGCTTGGAGTAAACATTGTAGATTTCACCTGTTAATACGTCAATAATGAGGTTTCATAATAAAATATGCACAGATTTGTACAAAAATCTAAACTTTGTACAAAAAGAAATTGTTTAATCCTTGTTTTAACCGCAAGAGGATTGTCAGTCTCAGTAACATGATTGTAGTCATAAAAGCTTTAAAGTACAGAAGTTTCCCTGCCTCCTCAAAACCTGGATTGTAAATGGGTTTCTTTGTTAAGTTTTGCATCTATTCCATCTTATTACAAAAATGCATAGACATGAATGATAAAGTAGTAAGAAATGAGGTTTTTGGCAGGAGTGTTGTAACAAAGCATGCGTTTGCTTATTTTAGGGCACGATATCCACTTCCACGATAAGAAGATTGCTTTGCTGGAGGCCGGTCCTAGGAAGGAATATGGTCGCGTGCCAGACAGTTACAGTAACAGGGTCAGTTCCATCTCCCCAGGATCAGCAACACTCCTCAGCAGTAAGCATAATTTCTATCGTTTGCGTTTTTAACAGTCTATTTGAGCTGTTTTTACTAACGTTTAAACAAAACCCTTTTGAGCATGTGTTGTCTTCATCCTAAGCAGAATTATTGGCCTTTGTCTCTTAGTGTTCTACACGCGGAACTGTGGTGATTACATCAGGCTTCTCTTGATAACAGGGATCTGTGTTCTGGTATCTTGGTCTGATTTGTTTTGTAAATATTTGTGACGTTAGGCTAGTGAAGGGTTGTGAGGTGCTCTCTGCCACATCTGGAATGTTCTTCACAAAAGAAGCATGACTTAGTGCTCTGTGGTCTGGTAACTCACTTCTGATTCATTTTCATTTTAAAGGGATTTGAGCCTTGATTCCTTATGGAGAAAGAAATGTTCTAAAGAATGTTGGCTGTGCATTTCTGTGGCTGCTTTATTGCTCAGTGGTAGGACAGTGAGAGTTGACTGTTAAGTCACGTTTTTCACGGAAAGCTGTTGTTTCTTTTCTATTGGCTTGTGTTAACAGTAAAATAATGTGATGCTGGAGCTGTGGGAGTATTGAGGCAGACCTGGCCCTGTCTAATGATGGTGCAAGCAGTGTCTGGGCATTGATAGTGAGGGAGGGAGGAGAGTGGGGAGTGAGCTTTGGTTTTGTTTGGGTCTCAGTGCCACATGTGAACCTGCACCTCTGTGTATTTGTGTCCTTTCTTCTCTTTTAGGTTTTGGTGCCTGGGATCATGTCTGCAGCCTGAGACTCAAACCGTTCCGGCGAATGCAGGTGCCTTATTTAGGGCTGCAAATATACTATGTGTCTGTCTACTTTGAATTCTCAGAAATATTTACATTAATGATCCAAAGGTTTTTTTCTTTGGCAAAGGGCAGGTCATGATTATGATGGTTCCTGTTACTTTTTTGGTGGGATAGTGGTCTACTCAAAAAACCCACCCTCAGAGTCTTGATGTTACAGGCTGAAAGGCTGATTCCTAATGGAAGTTGTAGATATTGAGGGATGGTCAGGAAATAAAGGTAACGGTGTGTATTGGTTTTGACTGGGATAGAGTTAATTTTTTTCATAGTAGCTTGTATGGTGCTATTGTTTGGATTTGTGATGAAAACCGATGATAACACAGGCACGTATTAGCTATTGCTGAGCAGAGCTTACACTGCACCAAGGCCTCTTCTGCTTCTCACACTGCCCTGCCAGCGCACGGGCTGGGGCTGCACCAGAAGCTGAGAGGGGACACAGCTGGGACAGCTGACCCCACAGGGGTACCCCACACCATACGACGCCATGCTCAGCAGCAATAAAAGCTGGGGAAAGGAGGAGGAAGGCGGGGGCATTCGGAGTTTTCCTGGAGATGGCTGAACACCCGCCTACTGTGGGAAATAGTGAATTATTTCCTTATTTTGCTTTGCTTAGACATGCAGCTTTTGCTTTACTTATTAAACTGACTTTATCTCAACCCATGTGTTTTAGCACTTTCACCCTTTCAATTCTCTTCCCCACCCCACTGTGGGGGAGTGAGCGAGCGGCTACGTGGAGCTGAGCTGCCTGCCGGGGTTAACCCACAACAAGGTGGTGGGGCAGCTTTATATTTTAATGATGTAGCAGGAAAGTAGAGATAAAAATCTTTCTTTGCAATTAGTTTTTGAGATCATTGTATGAAAGGAATTATGTGATGTACTTCAGTAGCTGGGAATGGACAGTGATCCAGGATGTTTCCTTGAGTTGTGTAATTCAAGATTGCTGCCTCCTTTAGCTGTTAAGATGGATACAGTCATAGTCCCTGAAGGGAACGGCGCTTATTTATCATGTAGCTTCATTAATGTGTTTTTTCTTTGTAGGTTTGGGATGCTTGTTCAGAAGCCATGATCGTTTTTGAGAAAGATGGCTTAGATGACATGGGTTACATAGTGGAGAATGATGTCATTATGTCTGCTATCACAAAACAGTTAGATGCAGTAGCAGGTAGTGGACAACTTCTTTAATATTTTATTTCCTGCAGAGAGCTTTCAGTTACTTGCCTTCTGTTGTGTAACTCTGAGACATAGGCACCTTTTTGAATTGGTGGGGAGGGAGAAATCTGTCTTCCGGAGGCTACACAGCAAGAAAACCAGTTGCATATGTAGTTCTCCAAAATGTAGTCTCTCCAAAAATAGACTTAATTAAAAGATCTGTAACTTTCTATCCAGAGGAGGCCTTGTACTGACAAGGGGTTGGCCAGATCTGTTCTTCCAGGCTGCTTTGAGAATTGTAGGGTCAGCTCCTAGGGTGCCATTAAGACACGCATGGCCTTTGCTGTTGTAGTGCTGTTTCCTTTTTCCATGTCTGTATCATGCTGTGACCTCAGTACTTTGTGTTCCCCATCAGACCGGGTGGAGGTTTTCTACGGGAGCAGAGCAGTGGGGTATACCTGGCCCCTTCCCTCTCCCAGCTGTGACACAAGCCCTTGGGTCCAAATTGAGTTAGCTGATGGACGCAGACTTCAGACCAAGCTGCTGGTAACTAAACTTTTTATTTCTGTTGATCAGGCGTCATCTCTTGCCCAAGTCCTTTCCACTGGATTTGGTTCTGATTCCGTGTGTGCCGCTCCACCCGCGTGGAGGGCTCGAGTGAGGTGAGTGGCCAACTCTGTCAGGATGCTACGGGACACGGTGCATAGGCTTGTCTGTACCTGACACAACAAGACTGTCCTGAGTTGGACAAGACCAGAAGGGGCCACCTCTTCTGGTTTTGGGGGGAATCTTTTTCATTTTTTTCCTTTTTTTTTCTTTTTTTTTCCCCCGAATAAACAAAAAACACTCTTCTGGTTTTGGGGGGAATCTTTTTCATCCTTTTTTTTTCTTTTTCTTTTTTCCCCTGAATAAACAAAAAATGTGTGGGTGCAGGCTGAGGTTTGTAGACTGGGATATTGGCTTTCGTAGGAGCTCTGAAGAGGTGGCT